CCTATTCCAGTAATCAGATTAGTGAATACCCTAACTGCCATCATAGAGCCTTCATCTAGTAACTGATGGAAGCAGACGCAGAGATTCACGGCCAGGCACCAGGCTGAGCTCCAGGAGTCCAATTGATGAGAGAGAGGAGGGATTCTATGAGCAAGGGACATCAAAATCGTGGTGGGAAAATGTACAGAGACGGCCAGCCAAACTAGTAGGAGCTATGAACTGTGGACCAATAGCTGTGGAGCTCCCATGGGACTGGACTAGGGCCTCTGGATAGGTGAGACAGTTGTTTAGCTTGAACTGGTTAGTGGGGCCCAGGCAGTGGGATCGGGATCCATCCCTGGTGCATGAGCGGGCTTTTTAGAGCCCAGTGCCTATGGTGGGACACCTTGTGCAGCCTTGGTGCAGGGAGGAGGGCCTTGGACTTGCCTCAACTGAATGTACCAGGCTCTGCTGACTCCCCATGGGAGACCTTGCCTTGGAGGAGGTGGCAATGGGGGGTGGGTTGGAGGGGAAGGCTGGGGGATGGGAGAAGGGAGGAGAGGGGAATCTGTGGTTGGTATGTAAAATGAATAGAAAATTTCTTAACAATAAAAAATAGTGCATGGAAAAAAAGAAACCATTTGTCTCAAATTCTTGCCAAATTTCTTCAAAAGTCAGAGAACATATAGCCCTGCCCCCATGAGTACAGACTCACAAAAGATGTGAAAATAAAACAAGGATATTACAAGAAAATTCAGCTGCACCAATGTCCTTCATAAACACAGATGGAAAAATACTCAACAGAATACCAGAAAACCAAATCCAACTGCACTTAGACTCATGGTTCAAAACCAGTTTCATGCATGAAAAACATGGGGCATCATGTTATGGAAGGAAGTATAAAATTACAGTTATTTCACATGCAAAAACATAATAATTCAACTTTCATTCAAAATAAAAAATTTCACCAAATAAGGGACAGATGAGATGTGCATTGTCATAATCAAGAGCATGTCTATGAAGCCCAGTGCCTACAGTGCTCCAACTGTGAAAATATGAAAAGCTTCCCACTAATTTTTGAAAGAAGACAAAGAGTACCTTGCTTGCTGCTTCCAGTCAGTGTGGTGTTCAAAGTCCTTGTGCAGTTATTTGGTGAAAGAAAAAAAAGAAAGTGTGTGTGTGACAGAGAGAGAGAGAGAGAGAGAGAGAGAGAGAGAGAGAGAGAGAGAGAGAGAGAGAGAGGCCACTCACTAGCTTCCTTTCCACGTTGTTCATGGCTCATGTGATGTGTGTCCAGCCTGACCCTCTTTCTACATGCCCTTCCCCTCTGTGATCTCCTATCTAGTTCCATAGTCAATAATATTCTTCCATAATCCTTTATTATATACATATAGACATTAAAAGTTAAGGAGGGAGAAGCCATAGAATTAGGGAAAGAAACAACAGAAATAAATTTTGTTTGAAAATGCCATAATGAACCCTAATTCTTTGTAAATTATTAAAAAACAAACTACATGTTGATCCCAACAAACAAACAAACAAACAAGCATCCAAATAAGAAAGCCAGGCATAGAAAGGTATTCCTGGAAAGAATGACTCTACAGATTAAAACACTGAGATTACCGAAGAATTGAGATATAATAAATGAATAGGATAAGATCACACAATAGAGATCAGCAAAAACCAGTAGTATTGATATGCTCCCAAAAAGAATACTCTAAAACATAAACCAGGAGAACAATTTCATTTGTGAGAGCTATAAAACACAAATTATATTGAAATAGTTTCATTTTTCTGTACAACAAAATTTATAAGAAATCAATGAAAGAAATTAGTCACAATTAAATGAAAATATTTCACGTTCATGGTTTAGAAGAATTAAAACTGTTAAAATGCCTGTATTGCACCCTACCAGTTCACTTTAGTCCTCAGGAAATAACTCCAGTATCATTTTTCACAGAACTAGAAATAATAGAACAATTTCAAATCATTGGAACCACAATAAACACAGAGAGACACAGGCACACAGACACACACACACACACACACACACACACACACACACACACACACGCGCACACACACACACACGCACACACACATACACATGCACACACACACACGCACACACACACACGCGCACACATACACACGCACACACGCACACGCACACATACACACACACATGCACACACACACACACACACACGCACACACACACACATACACACACGCACACATACACACACACGCGCACACACACACATACACACGCACACACACACACACACACACACAACTGAATCAAGAAAGAAAACTATTGGCAAAACAAAACAGAACAGAACAGAAAAACAACCCACTACCTGACTTCAAACTAAAATAAAGCTATATGGAAATTAACATAGTATGGCATTGGAAGGGAGATAGAGGGAGGGGGGGAGGGAGGGGGAGAGAGAGAGAGAGAGAGAGAGAGAATCTGGATATTTATTATTTATTTTGTAACATTCTTGGATGTATGTGACTTGTTTTTATTAATTTCACTGGGGCTAGCAGTAAAATGTTTGTTTTGAGTATCCAAGAAGACTTAGAGAGAGTAGATAACAAGGAGGGCTCAAAGAGGGATGCATGGGTCTCCCTGGGAAGGGGAAAAAGAAGAGATGTCCTGGGTAAATTGGGGAGGGTGTGGGAAGGGATGGGAACTTGAGGGAGCGGGTTGGGCGGGCTGGGTGTGAGAGGCAGGTTGGAGGTGGGTGGGACATAAGGGGAGAGTAATGAAAGAGATATCTTGATGAGGGGGGATTTTGGGGGTTAGGGAGAAACCTGATGCCAGGGAAACCCCCAGGAATCCACAAAGATGACCCAAGCTAAGACTCCTAACAATAGTAGAGAGGGTGCCTGAACTGGCCATCTGCTGTAATCATATTGGTGACTGCCCTAATTGTCTTTTTTTTTTTTTTTTTTTTTTTTTTTTTTTTTTTTTGGTTTTTCGAGACAGGGTTTCTCTGTGTAGCTTTGCGCCTGTCCTGGAACTCACTTGGTAGCCCAGGCTGGCCTCGAACTCACAGAGATCCGCCTGGCTCTGCCTCCCGAGTGCTGGGATTAAAGGCGTGCGCCACCACCGCCCGGCTTTTTTTTTGTTTTTTGTTTTGTTTTTTTTTTGGTCTAATTGTCATCAGAGATGCTCTATCCAGTAACTGATGGAAGCAGATGCAGAGATCCACAGCCAAGCACTGGGCTGAGCTCTTGGAGTCTTCCTAAAGAAAGGGAGGAGGGACTGTATGAGCCAGTGGGGTCATGATGGGGAACCCACAGAGACAGCTGACCTGAGCTCATTGGAGCTCATGGATCCTGAATCAACAGTTAGGGAGCCTGCATGGGACTGACCCTCTGCATGTGTGTGACAGTTGTGTAGCTTGGTCTCTTTGTAAGGCTCCTAGCAGTGAGATCAAGATCCATCCCTGAAACTTAATTAGCTTTTGGGAACCTGTTCCCCATGCTGGATTACCTTGTCCAGCCCAGTGCAAGGGGAGGAGCTCTGTCTTGCCTCAACTTGATGTATCATGCTTTGCTTAAGCCCATGGGAGGCCTGCCCCTTTCTGAATGGAAATGGAGGAGGAGTGGAAGGGGAGGGAGGGAGGTGGGAAGGAGAGGTGGGGTGAGGTGGGGGTGGAGATAGGGGGTTGTGGAATAGTGGAGGGTGGTGGGGGTGGGGATAGGGGATGAGGAGGTGGGGGGTGGGGGGGCCTGGGAGGAGAGGAGGGAGGGAAAACTGTAATCGGTACCCAAAATAAATGAAAAAAGTTATTTAAATAAAATATTTTAAAAATGTGAGCTTTTTTTAAAAAAAAAACTCCAGTTGTAGGGATTCTTGCAGCTGGGCTGAATGTCTTTTACATTGTGAAATGATTTTACATTACACCATGAGCCCTTGTCTCACGGGGATAGATTGTTGTGCCTTGTATAAATGTCCCCACATACTCACAGTTAAGTCTAGTTCTCTAGCTGATAGTACTATTTTGAAAGGTGACGGGGACTCGATGGGGGGATCACACTGTAGAAAGTAGGTTGCTGGGGGTGGCCCTGGGGAGTTTCTACCTTTCCTGACCACTTCCTGCATCTCTCTTCCTCTTTGCTTCTGTGTGCTGTGAAGTGATCTAGTTTGCTCCACCATGCTCCCCAGAACGATGCTCAGCCTCACCTCAGTGATAAAGCAGTGAAGGTGCTCACCACACGATTAAACAATACAAACAAGTCCTCCCTCCCTTACAGTGTCTATGTCAGATATTTCGTCACAGTGACAACCAACTGAGGAACAACTCCCATGGTGCAGACCTACTGCCAAACCCTCCCCCTGCCCTCCTGCCTTCAGCAAATCTCCTGACCCTGTACTTAACTCATACTGTTTCATGGCTCCAAGTGTAGCAATTTAGTTTAGAAACAACTTAAGAATATGACAGTTGCCTCTATTCTGTATCAGCAGATGCCCTTGAGTCTCACTGGTACCCCTGTCAGGGCAGGGAAGCCTGAGTTCTACCTCCGCACTGGTGACTCTTTGCTTCCAGGCTTACTCTGGTCACTATAAACTACTCTACCCAGGTGTGTGACAGATCAAAGCCTAAACCCTCCAACTAACAAGTGAGTATTGGTGGGTAAATACCCTCCATTTCTGTTCTGCTGGGGTAATCCTGAGACCTGACACAATTCTTCCTGAAAGATTCCACAGTTTCAGCTGTCCACAGTGGGCATGTGCCTGCTGGTGCATCATTGATTGGCTTTCATCTCTTTCCCATGTCAGCTCTCACATCCCTACTGCTGTTTCCTGGTACCAGCTACAAAATTAACTACTTGCATTTATACCTCTTCCTCATTTGGAAAACAAAACTGAACAGACCCTTCGCTGAAGAAGACTTTGCACACTGAGCACAAGAAGTTCCCACATCTGTCTATCCTAGGAAGTGTCCAGGTTAGGGACCAAAGCAGGAGAATCTTGGTCTCTTTTTCATCCAACTTCTGAGACTCACCTCTGTGACCACGGGCCACAGTCACTGATGGGATGCAAAATGTGACATCACCAATGAGCTCCAGGATTCCGTCTCTGATTTTGACTGGCTCATTGCTACCTCTCACATACTTCTCAATGGCAACTGGAATTGCATCCTCATGTATGCCCTGAAATGGATGACAAAAGCGATCACCAGCCTCTCCAACCAATTGAGGTTTCTTTGAGTCTGACCTTCCTATGACCTGTGCAAATCCTTCCTAGGGTGATGCAGTGGGAGACATTGAATTGATCTATAATTTGAGCCAATCCCTCACAATATCTGTATTTCTCAGTCAGTGGCCACAAATCCCTAGATGCTTACCAAATGGAGAGACAATTTCTGCAGGATTACTATGGCCATCTTCTTGTCCCATTTTACATCAGTTTGTAGAAATCCCATCATCTGTTACAAAAATTTTAAAAAGATTAAGCATTTGTGAGTCCTCAGGAATGAAGAGAAAGAGACAACCAGGAAAACATCCACTGTGAGTTCCTGTAGCGATCTACAGGACCTGAGAGTCCAAGTACAGGATGGAGGCATCTGTGCCAGTCTGACTCTCCTGAACTCCCACACCCTCCCCCACCTTCTGCCTGACCTTGGTTGTTCAGGCTATGCAATGGTTATGCCAACACACCCCCACCCAGGCTAAGAATTTCAGAAATCATTGAGAAAAGATAAGAAGTCATTGGTATAGAGTTCCCAAGCCTGGACATCTCAGTTGGGTCATGCCAGAGAAAGGTTCCTTGGATGAATACACTACGGCAATGGAACAGCTGCCCCAGACACAAGGCAGGGCTTAAAGATAGAATCCATGGAAGTGCAGAGTGGGGGCACAGTAGTGGGTGGTTAGAGGAACATCGGTCTAAGGGTCTGCTTGTGCTTACTGTTGGCAGAAGCCAGCCAAACTCCTGCTTGTTGACGCCCACCATGTAGGGCACAGTGTTGAAGCTCTTCTCAGCCAGGATCTCTTCTGGGGCCTTTGGCAACAGCACTCCATCAAGCACAGCTAGTACCAAAAGACCACTCTGGGAAAGAGATCAGCACAGTGTCAGAGATCACCAGCATCTCCTGCTCTGCCTGTCTAAGGGAGAAACTGGAACATAGACCCCATGACTGTGGGCAGTGGCCATGGAAATCAGTGTCCTTAGAAGGCTTATGAGCCACAGAGACCAAATTTTTGGCTTTTGTGAGTGATGAGGTTAATAGATAGGAAAGTGAAGCAGGGGAGGCATTTTCATTAAATATGTGTTATATATAAAATACTTCATACATTCATAAACATATACATAATATACATCAATCATGTATATTCTCTAGAATTGACTTTCATTGTTCCTATAGTTAATAAAGTTTCCATGAATTCTGGATTAGTGAATCCTGGGGCTTTGTTGCACTGGAATTCTAGAGCTAGGTTCTTGGGAATCACTGGTCACAATATTGTCATCATCCTTCTGTATGGGTCCCAGCTTAAGACATATTATCTAACACAGATTTCCTCAAAAAGAATTAGTATATGTAAGATTTATTTACAATATAATAAAACACCATATGAGCAGGGATTACTACTTTCTCAACCTTGGGTAATAAGATACTAACTTTCTTGAGCTCCAGTTTCATACTAACATTATAGTCTATTATTGCCCATGTGGATGCTAAATATGTGAAATCCACAAGTTTAGATGCTTTACTATCTTTTCCACAGTTTTTTTCATGCACTTTAGGTAGCACATGACCATTTTCCAAAATGACCAAACAGGGAAAACAGGCAGATCTCCTCCCTATCAGTTAGGTGTACTGTATTGTTGATCCAACACGGATTTCATGGGCAAGAACATCATATCCAAGTGGAAAAAGTCATGAGCCAAGAACAGAGATGTTGCCATTTGGGGCTAAATCCAGGATTGTTCAATTTCTAGCCTTAAGGAATGAATGTCCTGAAGCAAGACTAGAGAGAAGGGCAGTCAGAGTGACATACCAACACATCCTTATTTCCAGGTAGTGTTTTGAAGCTATAACTCAGTGGAGGTGCTGTACTTTGGATCTTAAGTGTCCCTAAAGACTGATGTGTTGCAGGCTTGGTCTCCAGCCTGTACTACCAGTGAGAGGTGGTGGGTCCTTTAGGAAATGGAGTCAAGTAGGGCTTCAGGTAAGTAGAGTGCCCACTTAAAGTAGATGGTAGACACAAACCCCCAGTCTCTTTCCCACTTCCTTCTTTCTTTCCTCTAACTCGACCCCTATTTTTCACTTTCTTTTTTTATCTTAACTCTGATTGCAATTAGACATAACATAGTTTACTAATTTATTTTGCCACACCTTGCCCCAAAAGGATGAAGTTCTTTGAGTGGGACAGACGTTTTTCTGCTTCACGGCTGTGTCCATCTCTGAAACTATAATCCGCCACATAGTAGCTGCTTCTTTAAAAAAAAAATGAATGCTGAAAGTCTGAAAGATTTGAGATTCTTAAAATTCTATAGACATTTAAGGGATACCCTGGGATCCCATGGAGGGACTGGAGAATAGGGCTGTAATTCAGCACAGCTAATGTCATGAGACCTTGATGGGGAGAACCTGGAGGTCACTACTAGAGTTTTCTGGATACAAGAAAGGGTGTGACATCTTCACCCTGCATAGCTTATGATTCTCCTAGGATATTTGTGTTCCTCAACAATGGTTTCCATGACCCTTAGCTAGGCAACTTAGCCAACTGGCTGTGTGGCCTCTTTATAGGTCCTTTTAGTGCAAGAATTGTAATTGAGGAGAAGATACAGATTGGGAGCAGTGAACTAGCAATCAGAGGAGTAGTGCCAACCCTGTCTCTGGTCCTCTTGGCTTGGCTAACCCATAAGTGAATTTTGCTGCTCTAGACCTCAACAGTACACACACATAACAAAGAACTGTGATTCCAAACACTCTTTCAATCACAGCCTAACACTGTTAGACTCCAAACCTTAAAAGGTTCTTACCTCTTTGGAGTCTCCTTGTAAATTGAACAGATTCTGTGGGGACAAAGAAAGAGGTTGTGGTTAGAAATCTTTCTGGAGTAAAAGCACGTCTTTTGCCCTGTGCTCCCAGTTTCTTCTCAGGCAGGGTAAGAGGACCCTGCGTGGCATCCTCTCAGTACAGGCACAGAGAGGAGCAGGATGGGGGGGCAGCTGCAGTAACTACCAAGTGCTAATACCCAGAGCCAGAGTTGCTGAAGCTCTCAGAGGATGTCCTCCCTCATCCCTCCCTCTTGGTAACAACACCCCAAATTTTCTGTTGAGAAAATGTGGGGACAAGGTGACTTCAGTGGCAGGATGATTTGACCCTGATGGAAAACTAAGCTGGATGGATGATGGATGGACAGGATGAGTCATGTACTCCTTCCTTCCCCTTTTGCTATTCTTACTTCACGAGTTCAGTATGTGAGCTGCATCACCATGCCTCAGAACACAGGGGATAGCTCAAAGATGGATGCCTGACACTGTTGATTAATCAGACTTTAAACCTAAACCGGCATTAACCTGAAGGAGTAGATAGTTTCTAAGCATACAGGGTATGAAAGTTGATTGCTGTTGTGCTTAACCTATTCAGGAGGCCAACATGCTTCAGAATAAATCCAGCAAAACAACGGGAAACTGGCATGTAGATTCTTATTATCTTCTGAGCACCTGGACCTAGCTATGTTCTTAGATTTGAGTCATTTGAAGACTGCTACAGCCCACTCCTTTTCCTGTTCAAGGCTTTAACTTGAATGGTTGCTTACAATAGAAAACCCTAACTCCTATAAACTCACTGATACTCATTCCAGCCCACCAGGATTGAGGTGACTGCAGTGTTACTTCAGATCAAAGGTGTGACTTATTTTTGTGTTATGGCTAGACCACCAAACACTCCCTATCAGCTTTGCCCTGGGCAGTGGTCCCCAGCTAGTCACACTATTTAGGTAAGTGTTTGAAACTTTGAGAAATGGGGCTACCTAGAAGAAAGCAGTCACTGTAGGTAAAACAGTCACTTGGGGGTGGCGTACCTCTGAAGCTTAGGCCTGCTCTGAAATGGCCTACTTTCTCTGCCTCCTGTCCAACATGAGGTGAAGAACCACTTCCACCATACATTCACAGTGCCAGGATGTCCTATGCAATTAAATAGATCCAAGAAACCTTGATCTAGAATCTCGGGAACTAGAAGACAAATAGTATTTCTCCCTTTGAAGTTTTGGTTTCAGGCATTTTCACTTGTACTCATTCAAAGGGAACTAACACAATGTGAAAAATGACCACTAGAGCTCCACCAACCAGGTGTGTGTGTGTGTGTGTCTGTGTGTGTATGTGTGTGTGTGTGCAAAGAGAGAGAGAGAGAATGCTATGTGTGCATGTGTAGATGTGTGTCTGTATTCATATGTGTGTGTGTCTGTGTCTGTGTAAGTTTGTATGTGTCTGTGAATGAATGTGTAAATGTGTGTCTGTATGTGTGTTCGTGTGTGTTTGTCGGTGTGCATGTGCATGTGTGTGTGCAAACTGGAGTCATTGCCCAATTATATCAGCACTTCCACAAGAACTCAATGTGATGGGATCTTAAGTTTCTGGGATTTCCCCACAAACACCAATAGTTTCTGTGCCACATGGAGAATGACTGAAATGTTTTAGTTTTCTGTGTATGAAAAGCAGATGTGAGTGAAGTGTTGGCACATGTCTTTAACACAAAAATACCTTGTCTCAAAAACAAGCAAGCAAACAAACAACAATTGTAGAACTGAAGGAGAAAAAATGACTTTTGTGTTTGTATTCTTTGTAAGTCTTGGTCACCTTATATAAGCCGGAACTAGAATCTTATCCCTAAGGCCATATTGAACCGAACCATGTGCGCATGAAAAAACTACTCTAGAGTGTCTCCGGTCTACAGGAAGGTCACATTCTTCTCTCACAAAGCGGGTAGTTCCGGTGTGTCATCAGGCTTTTTCCTATGTCCGTTTGTCCTAGGAAGTTCCCGGGGTAACAGACTATTATAACAATAGTAGTAATTGCTGGTGGTTATGTCAGAGGAGCTGCAGTCAGCAATGGAGCTTATGGAATTCAATTCACTGAATCGCAAAGCTAAACCCAGGGAGGCAAAACCTCTCCATTGTCCAGAATGTCCCTTGTTTCTTCCTCCTGCTTGCTGCTGCTGTCTCCCTGCTGTACTTGGCATGGTGTGATTACTGTGTGAAAGGAGCACACTGTATCTAGTATAGTGTGATTGTTTCTTGAGAAAACTCCACTCCTCACTGGGCAATTTATTTTCAGATCATAGTGAAGATGATATTTTTAATATGAGCAATGATGCTTATTTGGATCAATGACTTCATTAGACTTCCTGAGTTAGCCTAAAAGACACAGGCGGTTAACACAATTAGTAAAGATGATTAGGGACATGATTTAGGTTATTCCGCCAATTGCTCCAATAAAAGATACAAAAAAGCAAATATAGGCTGAAAGTTACATTCCCCTTTGTTAGATATGAGATTTGCAGAAGATGAAAAATCAGAGCAAGGAAGTTTCATGCATTATAGACCCATGAATTCTGCCTGTGGGAAGCCAGGCTGATGACTAAAGAGAACAATTATGCCCCTACACCTAAGGTTAGGCCTGAGTTCCTTAGTCATGTAGCTTACAGAATTAATCACAGGTCCTGGTATGCACCTTGAGAAAACAATTGCTGTGAAAGGAAATTAAATGACCCTGTTGTGTGTAAAGGAGAACAGATGGTCAGCTGACCCACTCGTTTGAAGTTTCTCTAGAGTGAAACCAGAAATCTGCTGCACTGAGACTGCAAACACTCCCCCTCCCGTACAAAAGGAACTGGCTGAAATATGCCTAGCTTGCTTAAAACGTTATTAACCAGTTATAAAAGAATCATGGGGTGGAGAAAATGTTTGACTACTTGAGGGCCTCTAAGAAAAGCAGGTAACTTGTGATTTTAATGTGGCTTCTTCTTATGTAAAGATTTGATTTTGTTTTGGAAAACATGTAACTTATGGTTGTGAGGTAATCTTTTCATGCATAGAAATCTTTGTATTGGAGGTATGAAACGGATAAGAAAAAAATAAGAGATATATAAAAACAAACATGTAAAGGGAAACATCCAAAAACAGGAAAAAGAAAAGAAAAAGTAAAAGGATGAGATCAGGAAAAATGTAGAAAGGGAAACGACCGGAGAGAAGCAGAAAAATGGAAACACCAGGGTGAAAGGACAGGACAGGAAGAAGAAGCAGCAGAGAGAGAAATAAAAGGAAGAAGGAAGCTTTGGCTTTTAGCTAAAGTTCCCACGTGTGTCTGTGCATCTGTCCCAGCAGTTTGCCTATCTGCATCTCCTCTTCAGTTTCTATGACTTGCTGGCAGCCTGCTGGGGGCTGGGCCCCTCGGTGGCTAGTAATAACCTCGCAAATACCACTCACTCTGAGAAGTATCAACTGGCTGGCTATAATGGGTGTGCTTCCTCTCTGTGTTCCCACCACACAATACATTTCCAAATAAACATATGGCTGAATTTCTCCTTAGATTATTTCCACAAGCAAAGAAAATGTTCAACTTATGTCCGTATGACCTACTCTGATACTAATTTTCCTAGCAGTTGTCATGGAAGGCTGGATGGGTAAACAAATAGATAGATACAAGGATGGATGGAATTGTTCGATATATTCACTCTTGATTTAGATGGAAGCATGGAGAAAACTGTAAAAGCTAGCAGAGAAGTAATGGACAGACAATTGCTTTGGGAGGACCGGATAAAATGTGCGTACATGTTGGTTGAATGACTCATGGATAATGACTCATTGCAAAAGATATATGAACAGTTAGATATAGGTTGGTTGTAGATTGATGAAATTATTTCAATAAATTGAATATGTGTATGTACATGTGAATGGATGGATGATAAATAAATAGACAGAGGCTTGGCTGTCTGTAAAACATAATCTTGGGAAATTTAGGAAATCGATTGAGTGCTATTCTACTTTGGATAGATTCTTAATCTTCCTAGATAAACTGTGAGATTTTCTGAAAACTTTTTTTTTCAGGGCTGAGGACTGAACCCAGGGCCTTGTGCTTGCTAGGCAAGTGCTCTACCACTGAGCTAAATCCCCAACCCCTCTGAAACCTTTTATTTAACTCCATTCTCAAAATTCAAGATACTAATAACTTTTGGAAATATGGAATGTTAAATTTCTCAAAACACAACTGAAAGCAAGAACAGCAAAATATTAAATATAGAAAGAACTGGGAGAATATTTTGAAAAATTTCACCAGATTACTACTGGATTTTTTTCATCTAAAGTCTTCTAATAATAAAAAAGTGAACTTCAGATTGCCACTTGGAATCAGTGGGTTGACATTGCTCTCAAGAGGTGAAAAACTATACCAAGTAGTTTGGGGGCTAAAAAGCAGCTGAATAAATGAATCCTGGAACCAAGCACCCGGAATACAGACCATTGGAAAACACACCCACCATTTTCTGCATGACCTCCAAGAGCTCGTCCTCCGTCTTCTGGCGCAGGCAGTGAACGATGACAGCAGACGTGGTGGTTTTGCACCCAGCAATAGCAGCAAATTTCTGCAAGAGATGTCGGGCAACCACAGACGTCAATAGCAACATCAGTACCCACCATTGGTGTAGACAGTGGGTTCTATCCTAAGTCCTATTTCTAAAGACAGATAAGTGATCCTGAAAACACTCTAGACCAGCAGACTTGGGTCCTGGAGCCAAAAAGTTGCCTCTATTATTATTTGTAATGGTTGCCATGAATACACCTGAGCCTGTTACCTTAACTTTTAAAATAGTCACAATGTTGGAGAAGTGTACTTATTATCTTAAGAGAAACCAGGTACAGTGGATATAGGGCAAGGAATCCATGATCCCACTGTCCATTTCAGATCCACTTCCTCCATTTACAGGCCATTTGGCCCCTGGTTTCCAGCACCTGTTACATAAGGAGAGCATGCTTCAGAGGGTAGGTACCCTGTCTTCCTGCACACGTCATGCAGAATTGAATAATCTGAATAATATGACCTACAGGAAGAAACTTGAAAGCCTATAGAGTGTGGTTTAGATGGAGCCCTAGAACTGATTTCTGTCCAGTCATTCTCATTTCAGAAATTGCTTGAACACATGGCTGAGTCCTATATCCAGAAAGACCCCTGAGGACTCCAGGAAAGAGTATGGCAATTTTCCAGGGTGGGACCTACCTTAGTGATTGTTCTGGCATCTGTTATAAGCAAACCAGGAGTGAAGATCACACCACTCTCAGAAATGGCCCTGTGGAAGAGGTTCTTGGCCAAGGGAGACAACACCTGGCATGGAGAGAAGAAGAGGAGAGTTTATGCTCACAGGAGGGGCCCAGTGACTCATTCGCCATCTGAATACTCCTCTGTCCTGGTCATTCTTGAAGACTCTGGCGCTCTGTAGACATGACAGCACCCCATCTGTCTATTCTATCTTTGAGACTTTTCTCAGGCCTGAGATTCCACAAAAGAAACTCAGTGGAGTAGAACCAGGGTGCACAGTAAGAAACAGTAGAGGAAGTGTGTGGCAAGTGCCTATGGCAACAAGAAAAGCTACTTGAAAGACATTTTGGCAATTGCTAGCCACAAATTCTGTTTGAGAAATTCTTTTATTCTGAATTTATCCAGAAAATTATCATGTAAGGGAAAAAAAAGAACTGGGGATGCAGTTCAGTAGGAGAACTACCTATGGGTCAGGCTAACATGAAAGATGGAAGGAAGAGAGGGAAGAAGAGTGAAGAAGGGGAATATAGTGGCACCATCATGGAAACACACAGATATCTGCTGAATATTCTATTGTTTATAATGGAGACAATGGTAAATGCATCAAGGCCCTAGCATTAATCAGTTCATGACTTACCATGGAACTCTGTGCAATAATGAATGATAATGTCATATGTGTTTAATGTTTGGAGAGGTATATTTATGCCATACTGCATTTTAAAGGATAGTTTCATTGTAAAAACAGCCCAAGACTGTGAGAGTGAGAGGATGCATGGAAGCATGATACATAAATGATAGATGAATAGAAAGATAGATAGACAATAGACATGACTTGGAGGAAACAACAAGAGATAGATATGGCAAGATATCTACAATGACCGTATAAGAGTCACAGGGCTATGGATGACATTTTTATCCTTAATATTCATCATGTAACTTTTTTCCCTTCAAAGTAAGTTTGTGTGTTTGTGTGTGTGTGATGAAAAATAGCAACTAAGTTGATATTCTACTCATCTCTGAGAGTTTCATATAGCTACCAGAACTTTCTATAACTTCTCTATAACTTCTCCTTAACTCCCATTTTCCATATAAGCAAATTTCTTACAACTCAGTTTGGCTATTTCCCACATACACTGCCCATTCTTGCCTGTCTCGCTTTCATACATCCTGCCTCTCACTCCCTGTCCACAAAAGAACTCACCCCTCTGCCCCAGATTCTGCTGCTGCCCTGGTAGTTAAGGACAAACTAGGAGGCCACTTCAGAGAGGATCCTGCCTGCTGCCCACATTTGAGACCTCTAACATGTACATCTACCTTGGATTCACACAATTGCTTCTTCCTATTTGTAGTTTATAAACAACCTAATTTCCCAACAGAAGCAAGGCCAGCCCCAGTCACGGCTAAGAAGCCGCTGGTAGTTGGTAGCAACTGAGAGAAGGGGAGTCAGTGTTCCATAGGAGTGTGGCCCTGGTGGGCGAGCCCACTCTCCAGTGAAGGCCACACACCCAAGAGTAAATGGACAATATAAACCATACTTGATGAATTTAAAACAGAAAGAGACATAAAGTTAAATGGGGGGAGGAAGGGTAGGTGGATATGGCAGAAGACCGGGAAAGACTGAATAGCATCAAAATGTGTTGTAGGAAGTTCTCAAAGAACTAATAACAGAAACTTGACAAGGCCAAGGCCTTCTGTGCAAAATGAGACTCAGCCTGTTTCTTGAACAAACATGCTTTAAATACTTGAAAAATATGGTTAATAAAGGGAAAAATAACTAAGTGAAGAGGCTAGTGTTGTCATTGATCCAAGCTAGAATTTGAGAGATCTATGGCTCTGGGACACCAAGTTCAATTCTGAGCCTCCTAGGAACCAAATACAGTTAGTTTGGTTGTCAGCGACTGACTCTCAATATTGTGTAGTGAGTAAAACTGACAGTGTTTTGAAAGCAACCAGCTGGTCTCTAGGAAGTCCCATCAGCAGTCGCATTAGGAAGCGTGGACACGAGGCCTGGTACTGGGGACACTTACGAGAACAGAGACACTGAAACTTCCTGCTGACTCGCCAAAGATGGTCACAGAGTCTGGGTCCCCTCCAAAATTGGCAATGTTGTCCTGGACCCAGCGCAGTGCAGCCACCTGGTCCAAATGACCCCAGTTTCCCCGGCCATGTTCATCCCCTGTGCTGCAAGAGACAAAGAACGTATACATGGCATGGCAGGGATCTTAGCACCACAGATCTATTGGGGGCCATTTGCAGCTTTCCAGAGCCCAGGTGAGCTTGGCATCTCTGACACAGAAATCTTCATCTGTGTGAGGCTCTCACTCATTATTCCAACAACTATGTACTAAGGGTCCAACATATGTCTAAATCTGGTGTGAGGGCTATAGCATATCTCGAAACAAAAAAATAATATGGCAACATTCAGCTCACAGCACAAAGCACAAAGCACAAATGAACAGCTAAAATGATAATATAGTGTCAGCAATGGGGAAAAGAAAATCAGGTAAAGAAAGTAGTGAAGGTAGGTCTGGGATGTGCTTTAGACTCATAACCAGAGAAACCCTCTTTGAGTTGATGGCATTTGATAGAGATCTACATAAAATGAGCACCAGGGCTTTGTAAACACCCAAAGAAGAATTTCAATTAAGATGAGCAGCAGGTGCAAAGGCCTTGAGGCTCGGGGAACAAAAATATGCATGCAGCTTCTGTGAGATGGAGGCAGAGCCATTGCTGGGAGCCTTGGCAAGGCTTCTATGTCATTGAAATTCATGTGCGTATTAGGCAAAGGCATGACACGGCCCCATCATTCATTGCTTGTCAAGTATTCTGATCACAACATGCAGCAGCTGTCATGTAAAAGTTGCAAGTTTGATTAAAATGTTGGTTATAACATTAACCCATCCCATAGAAACAGCTTTGAAAGCTGGAAAATGTAGACCCAAAACAGCAGGATTCTGAGCATATTTTAAAAATAGAGTTACAGGGATCTGTTGTCTGAGTGGAAAAATGGTGTGGAAAAGAAGAAGAAGAAGAAGAAGAAGAAGAAGAAGAAGAAGAAGAAGAAGAAGAAGAAGAAGAAGAAGAAGAAGAAGAAGAAGAAGAAGAAGAAGAGTCCAGGATGTTTGCAAGGCCTGTGTTGTAAGTAAATGGGTGCTCAGAGCAGTCGGCCGCTATGTAGGGTCCTGTGGGAAACAGAGGAGGATCTTTGTTGAAGGAATGGTCAGTGGATGTCAAGGGCTGAGCTTCTCCCTGTTAAGTGGGAGAAGTTTATGCATGTCTACAGAAACCAGGGGTAGGTGAAAGGACTGTGTAGGATTTCAAGGGGGGTTGGGGATTATACATGGTGTGAAAGAGTTGCTGGAATCACTCAGAGGATTTGTACAGAGGGAAAAGGAAACACACAGTGCCTGAGGACAGGGAGCAGAGGGCAGAAAAGGAGTAGACTGGGCAATAGGGAAGAGTGAGGCAAGGACAGGGTCAGGAAGCATCTCATTGCAGCTATCATAGTATTATGAGCTGCAGGAGGTTGAGACGAGCACTGGCAAGGTCGCAGTTAGCTTCTGGGCCAACTTGGCTTCATGGCTAGCTGAAAACCTGTCTGTGGAACCACTAACTTTGATCCCTCCATGAGCCCACCCATTCCCTACTTTCCTGGGAGGAAATGTCTAACACTCAAGTTCTGTGCTGTGTTGCTGATTGCTGACACAGAGGAATGCAGAGTGCTGATGTAATATAGGTGACCATTTCAAAGGCAGCAACATGAAGACTGGGCTTTTCGGAACAAATAGGACTTAGTTTCATAGAGTAGGCATCTAGGAAGAGATCCCAGAAGCAAGAGGAGTGTATGAATGTACACTTTACTGAGGAATATAAAGGTCAATAGGGCCTGGTAATGAAGGGACTGAACCCCCGTCATGGAAAATTTTATTAAATGTCCTTGTGCAGAGTAACATTACTAAAACTGGGTCCTAGAATCTTTGATTCTGCAGATTTGATGGTTTGAATACGGTCTTTTCTACAAGAAAAGGGGGTTTTGGTACCTAATGTGCCAGGTTTCTTCCGTGGTAGAATTTGTAGAGGGTGGGGTCTTTCCCTGGGCACACTATATTTCTAAGGGATCTGTGTGCTCAAGGAAATGTGCTATATCCTGAGAAAGTGAGTTGTTACCAAAAGAGGAAGACTGCCTTCCCATTTTCTCTGACTTTCTGCCTTACCATGCAGTTGTCTCTTTATCCCACAGATTCAATTTTCATTCTTCCACCACAGTGCATTGTAGCATAGGGCCCCTCAACATATCCAAGACTGATGAAATGATTCTGTCCTTGGCTCCCAGCCACACAAACACTGACCTAAATAAATCTGATTTCCTTGTCAGTGATAAATTTCAAATAGAACTGATCAATATAGAAGCCAATAAGCAGAGAGGAGTGTTCACAAATCCTACCTGAAGAATCCCCAGATGCCCAGGCGGTACTGAATGGTCACCACCACCACGTTTTCATGTGCAGAAAGGACTAGTCCATCAAAGGTTGATGCCCCACCTGCTACCAGTCCTCCTCCATGGATCCACACCATCACCTAGGTAGCAGGAAAAGGATCATACTTGTCATAGGAAATAGAATTGGGAAGGAGCTCAGATGTTTCATTTGATTTTCATGGCCTGGCCCTGATTTAGGGCATCACCACTCAAAGTGCATCAGTGTCCAGCTAGGTTGCAAAAATAGTATTGTACTTCTTCCTCAACAAACCTGGCTAGAAGCCAGGATGTCAACCCATTCAATGTCCCTACCTTTCTCTTTAGACCTGTGTGCCAAGTCTCCCCAGGGTTCCTCTAACTGAGAGCATCATTATGGGAACAACAGAGGACAACAATATCAGCTTTTCCCCAGCACAGTGACATTGTAATACGTGGTCCATTCAGGCAGTTGAGTCTTTTAGCTTCATCTCTATTAACCATGATGTGCCTACATGCTCATCCCCAGGCCCCCGTTGGTACCCTTTCCTGTCCCTTTAGTGCACTACCTTTCCACCAGAATCCTCCCCAGCTTACTAAGCCCATTCTACATCTTCCTTCTCCATCATGTCTTCAGCCATTTAACTATTAAGAGTGTCTACTCTACACCAGGTTCTTTTTATACAACTTGAGGCTGAGGAGAGATACAATAACTGTTAATTTAAGGCTTCAGGATTTAAAGAGCTCACATTCCACAGAAGTGACCAGGAGAAAATAAAGCTGAAATCTTATACAACACTGCTAATAAACAGGAAAGAGAAAGCAAGGATAATCTGGGCACAGTAAAATGATTATTATCAATAATATAGAAACAAAGATTGTCCCATTTGGTAGATAGAAAAACTAAGGCACCTCTGCTGGGATCCCACAGCTAATGAAAGGTGGAAGTAGGACTTGAGCAGCCATCTGGCCCCAGCTCACAGCTGAGCTCCTAAACAATGCAGTTCATGGCCACTGTTCAGTGATCTGGGCCGGGAACCAGCCCTCCCACAGCTCCGACTAGTATCTGTGCTGCTGGGTCCTCCACGAGGACTCAGGTACAGCTCAGCAGCCACTATGGACTGTTTACAACATGTGAGGGAAAAAAGAGGCTAGGAAGGCAAGCAGTTCCTGCTCTTTCAGCAAGTGGAAGCAGACCCAGAATCTATGTGTCTCTAGGACCTGCATACATAGCTGGACAGTCCCTTGCTTTCCAAGCTCCATGAGCTTCTGTTTCTCCTCCCCTTGGGCTCTCCACCACGTACATGGAGGGTCTGAGTTAAGCTCATCTTAAAGACTGAGCCCGCAGGGTGACCAATCATGTGTTGAAGCTGTTATCTGAGGTGTCTGTGCAGACCAGACGACAAGAACCTTGAAGGCAAGGCTATGCATAATGATTCCTGTCCTTGCTTCTCCTGACCCTAAGTCTGGCTGTGAGGACACAGAGTCCAAAATAGAAGGTGGATAAACGAGTGGGTGGGGGTGAGATTTGTTCTCACCTCCTTGTGCAAAGGCAAACATGTTTAGGGTCTGTTCTGGTGACTGTTGTTTCCTCCTTCACTTCCGAGTTTCATCTCAGGTGCTCCCAGGAGACTGGGTAGGTGCTCACACCCTATCTTATTCCACTTCAGGGATCATGTCTTTACAGAGCACCTCTCCAAGACTGTGTGTAGTCTGTAACTGGCAGCCTGCCCTACCCCTGCCTCTTCATTTCAATGGGAAATGCTGACTCACTCAGCCACCAGCTTGTGCCAAAGGCAACAAGTGAGGGGGAGGAGGAGGAGGAGGTATAATACAAACACAGGTGGGTGGCAAAGGGCATGAAACGGGGTTGTGAGGTTGCCCCAGACTCCTCCCTCCACTCTCTGTCATTCACCTGGTAGTGAAAGTTGTCACAGGTAATGTGGAGACAAAGGTAGCATACATCTCCCTTGCCAGCCCCTGTGGTGGTATTTTACTTGTACTGAAATGTGATTTTAATTGTATGTTAATAAATAAAGTTGTCTGGGGGTCAGAGCTATTAGAGCCATAGCAAGTGCGTGGCGGCGGTGGCACACGCCTTTAAGGACCTGGAGGGCGGTACATTCAGGCAGTGACGAGGCAGTCACATGTTTGGGTTTACAACCAATGAGAAGGCAGAACAGAAAGACTATAAAGACATACACACAGGAAGTAGGTTCCCTTTTTGGAGAGCTCTCTTGGCTGAAGAGGATCCCTGAATCAGGAAGGGTGAGGCTCTTAGCTCTGACCTCTTGGCTTTCTTCTCTGAATCGGTTCTGTGTTTCTTATTTAATAAGACCGTTGGTTACATCTACAAGCCCCTACCTAGGAGCACAGGTGTAAAGATGGAAGACCCAAGCTCTTGTTCTCTCATCCCTTCTGAGTGCCTTTCCTTCCCTACCTGAGCCTCAGTTTCTCTCTCTGAAGAGAAAGGCTTGGGCTGCTCATTTTTCTCTAAGATTCCTTCAATGGTGCCAACATCATTGTAAATTGTGCCTTAGCTGCTCTGGGACCAGATTCTAATTTAATAACTAATAGCAATCATTTTGAAAAACTTCTAAAAGTGTAAGAGAATGTGAAAAACTTAAGCTGTACATTCCAGGTGCACAGCAATTCCACCAAAATCAGGGTCTTTGGAAGAAACAAAGCAATGCATTTACTTTTGCTGTGGTGAAAGGAAGTCCCTGCCTCAGTCCTGGCTTGTCTACCTAAGCATCTAGCTGCCTTCATCCCCTTCCAGTCACACTGAAGACCTGGATGCCGTAGCGCAGAGGACTAGACCAGCAGTCCCCATGCTTACCGGCAGCCTGCTGCTCCTTGACAGGTCGGCAGGAGTGTACATGTTCAGGTAGAGACAGTCCTCAGAAAACTGGAGGTGGATTTTCTCCTTCCTGTTGGTTAGGAGGTCATTGACCCTCTGCCCTCTCACTGCATCCTGGGAGCACCTAGAGGAGAGAGTGGACACCTGAAATTCCAACATATAGAAGCTGGACCTGTTACCTGTTACCTGTCTCCACATGCACCAGGTTGTTTGAGCTTACAAATGGAGCTGCTTTCACAGGACTAGAATCTGGTGAAATTAGTAAGAGGGACTTTATGGGTAAATGGTGGAAACCCAGACACCTTTATCTCACTTGGCATCTCTCCCCTTCCTGGAGCCTTTTGGGCACTCTGAGCAATGGAGAGATGTTCATCGTCTGACCTACCTGGGATATGACAATCTCACCAGTGTCTTCTCAGTGCCTGCCCTTGGCTAGGCCTGGTGCAGTGGGCTGAGGGTGAACCTGATCTTTCATCAGGTGACCTTCTTCTAGTCCTTTTGAGACTTCTGTGAATCCAGGAACTACCATTAATAACTTCTTAGCATGTTGGAAGTTACGGCTGACATCTTTGTGGGATGATCTCAGTGGCCGGCATTCTAGTAGTTAGTCACTGATATGCTGACATTATTGGCCGAGTACCTTTCCTACTCTGTACACAAATCTTCTAGGTCCAAGTAAAGCCAATGCTATCACTCATGACCTCTGTCAGCCTCCTATGAAAGAATAACTGTTGACTTCTCTAAAGAGGGATCATGAAGGACCAATGGAGAATTGAAAGAATTGGTGGGAATTACTGAGTCATCCTGGAGTCCCAGATGATGATTTTAATTTTCCTCATACATGAACTCATTTAAGCTTTAGATTTAGCACCACTTATGCCCAGTTCTGTTTATACCTGTCATTTTAGAGAGCGATGAACAGAGTACTCTAGAAAGGAAAGAAAGGTCTATGTTTCTAAAGTACCCTTGAGGATTCCAGAAGGCTATTGGACCAGTGGATGACTCCCTCCTGCATCACTCTAAGGCAGATGCTCTTACTGAATGAGGCCCAGGCCCACCCCAGTGGCTTACATAGGAGGGTAGGAGGTGGCATTCTTCACGAAGCTCCAGGGCTCTGCAGGCTGTGGTGGAGCAAACCTCAGGGATCCAAGAGGAGGCTTGGCAAAGGGGACTCCCAGGAAGACGGCCACAGGCTGTGTGAATCCTTCTAAGCGGACATACTTCCCCAGGACTTTGCCATGAACAGTGTTCACCACAGGTGGTGAGGATGGGTGCCCTGCAGAACACAGAGAAGAAAACGAACACATTAGAGTGACAAGATCAGACCTGGATTCCATGTGGGTTTTCCCATTTTCTAAGCATGTGACCTTGAATAAATTACCCAAATACTTCTGGGTCTCATTTGTTTCTGACTTGAGATTAAGATGAGGAACACTTATCTCACAGAACCTTTAGTTTCCCTCTGAGAAACCTGTATCCATCAGGACCCTGGTGCTGAGCTTCATGCTGGACCAGAGGAAGAACAAGTGGCTCCTGTCTCAGGAAAGTGGCCTTATTGGAAAACAGACGTGCTTGACCTGATGCTAAGGTAAGAAATGTGTCCCGAGAGAAGGACTAGGGAGGTGCCAGAGAAGTTGGAAGAAATGAGGTCTTCTGAATGGTGACTTTGTGAGGTTCTGAGACATTCAGCAGGAAGAGGGATGACTAAGAATGGTGGAGATATAGAGCAATTAAGCAGCCTGCAAAAGTAAGAGATCCAGAAAGTATAGCATAGACCCTGGCTGGTAAGGATGAATGGCTTATTGATGCCCAGGTGGAGTCCATGGGGAGAAGATAATCCTGAAAGTCCTGTGTGTCAGGGAGGGCACTGAACACCTGGCTAGATGACTAGATTTCACATGGTGGGCAAATAAGTAACAGAAGCGTTTCTGGCACTGAGAACACTCTGGTCTGTCTGTGTAGGATCCCCCAAGGGGAAGAGAAGCTGGGTCAATACCCTTTCTGACCCTTTGGCTTCAGTCTTGAACAGCTAAGAAATCTTTCCTCATCTCCCTGTAGCTTCCCCATCTGTCCTTGTACCATTGTACCCTCTGTAGGACCAGGAAACCACACCGATCCCCCTTTAAGCCCCAGAAAGACATCAACACATTTCATTGCCACCAATTCTGGTGTCTCCTAGTTTGGTTAATAGCCTACTTGTCAGAGCATCACTCTTAACACCTGATTTCTCTCTTCTGGTCCTAACTCTTCCCCTTTAGCTGCAGAGAGTATGTCAATTCCTCTCTCAACATTTTTTGAGAGAGAGAAAGAACATAAAGTTGGGTGGGTAGGGAGGTAGGGAAGAGCTGAGAGGAGCTTTGAAAGGTTAAAAAAATCATCAATATTATATAAATTTTAATATTATAATAATAAAGTGTGGTCAGAAAAGAAAATTCTAGATTTTTCTTTTCTTTTCTTTCTTTCTTTTTTTTTTTTACAAAATAGCCTTGGCATCAGAAAGTCTTGGCATCATGTCTCAGAGATACTATCAAGCCTATTACAAGATAGTATCTCTGAGACATGATATCAATAACTAACTCCATAATATGGACATTTGGTTGTTTTTATTTCTGCTGCCAATTACTATAAATAAAAGTAGTGAAATTCTGGGGGACACACAACTTACAATGTTTTGACATAATGACATTTGATTAATGATGTGTGTTTTACTTTAAGATCATTAAATTATCAGCATGTAACCTCATCCTGAGTCTAAGATGAGATTTATAGAGAACAGCCACTAACACTGGACTTTCTCTTGGGAAATCTTGGTTACAAGCTTGCGGCCACTCCTGGTGCCATTAGAAGTCAATCCCATGCTTGTCTCCCTTTGTCTTTGCTTGTAGCTTGAGTTTTCCTGCCTGGCCCATGGTCAGGACAAATCTCTCTCACCTGCCAGTCCCACAGCCACTCGACCTGACCAAGTAAACACAGAGACTTATATTGGTTACAAACTGTATGGCCGTGGCAGGCTTCTTGCTAACTGTTCTTACAGCTTAAATTAATCCATTTCCATTAATCTATACCTTGCCACATGGCTTGTGGCTTACCGGCATCTTCACATGTTGTTTCTCATCATGGTGGCTGGCAGTGTCTCTCTGACTCAGCCTTCCACTTCCCAGCTTTATTCTCCTCCTTGTCCCGCCTACACTTCCTGCCTAGCCAATGACCAATCAGTGTTTTATTTATTGACTAATCAGCAACACATTTGCCATACAGAACATCCCACAGCACTTCCCCCCCTTTTTTTTTTCAAAAAGGAAGGTTTTAACCTTAACAAAGCAAAATTACATATAATTTGGGAATTTGGGCATAGCTTCTCTTACTACTTCCTGCTGGAGGGGGGCGCTGTATCTTATGGGAACACAAAGAAAATTTAAGGATCATGGAATAGTCCATGAGGGTGTATCGTCTGAGCCAGTTGCCTTCAAACCATTCTGGATGTTGGATCATCTGGGCCATGGTGTCATCGGAGACCTTTCAGGGGGTCTTGGCTGGTCAAACCTGATGTATCTTAATCTGGAACAAATCCATAGCCTCTGGCTTTCTGTGGGAACAAAAGAGACTCTTTTCTAAAGCAACATATCCTTATATCCAAATTTTGAAGTCAAGCTATCTTTAAAATATACATATTGGTTTAACTCAACATCTTTTACGATCAAATGTTTTTTTGCAGTTAAAAATCCCAAAGACAACACAATCCAGATTTTCTGTGTAATATTCATCTTTACGTGGCTTATTTTCTATATTAATTTTACTGTCTCTTTAAAGACTTTATTTTTTAAAACTATGTATTTGCTTATATAACTGTATATATCACCTTTTTTGTCTCTTTTTAGCCTACGTATATTTTACACACATTGTAAACTATTACATCTGAATCTGTCTTATTGTGAATCTGTTGCTTTAAACTGCAGCAGCTGTGGCTGCTGGCTCCGCCCACCTCAGCTTCCCAACATGGCCATGGTACTTTACCACCAGCTCTGGGAGCTATCGTGGGTCTATGCTTTTATCCAGGCAGCATGTAGCCCAGAAACCTCTTTTTTTGTTTTGTACTAGTAAAGGCTAAATCTACCACACAGCTTAATGTGCCACTTGCAGAGGCCTCATTCCCGCTATACTGCAGGTCGAGCGCGCACGCCAGGAACCCACCAGTAGCTCAAACCGGCAGCTGCCGCTCATTTGAGAGAGACAATTAGGAAGCTGTTTTTCTGCTCTGTTTTAGAATCTTTTCTCAGGTTTTAGGTGGAAACTCTTGCCACCACGTTGGACGCCATTTGTAGCTAGAGTTTTCCTGCCTGGCCCATGGTCAGGACAAATCTCTCTCACCTGCCAGTCCCACAGCCACTCGACCCAACCAAGTAAACACAGAGACTTATATTGGTTACAAACTGTATGGCCGTGGCAGGCTTCTTGCTAACTGTTCTTACAGCTTAAATTAATCCATTTCCATTAATCTATACCTTGCCACATGGCTTGTGGCTTACCGGCATCTTCACATGTTGTTTCTCATCATGGTGGCTGGCAGTGTCTCTCTGACTCAGCCTTCCACTTCCCAGTTTTATTCTCCTCCTTGTCCTGCCTACACTTCCTGCCTAGCCAATGGCCAATCAGTGTTTTATTTATTGACTAATCAGCAACACATTTGCCATACAGAACATCCCACAGCATTTGCTGTTAAAAATTATTTTATTTAACTTTTTATTTTTACTGCACCACTGAAACAGACTTCCTGGAAAACTTGGATATGAGGTGATCCATAGAGGGCAACATGGCACGTTGATTTTTTTTTTTTTTACTTCATGAATGTCAAGAGTTATTTACTGTGCTCGGGCCCCATTTATAATCGGGAAGAAACTGCTATGAAGAGATATGGTGATGAGCATGAGGAAGGAGGATGTGCTCCCTGCCCTGATATGGGGCTAAGGGAAGAAAAAAGGCTAAAGGTGAGTAAGCAACACCAGCTCCCTGTGAGATGGGTGCAATGGGAAGGCAGTGAGATATCCTGGTAAATGAACTGGGGCTTGTGGGGTACACTCATGACCCCAATATTTGGGAGGCTGGGGCAGAGGGATCACCTTAAGTTCTAAGCCAGTGTGGGCTACATTGCTGTGGGGTGTTGTTCTGTATTCTGTGAATATGTGTAGCTTTGATTGGTTGATAAATAAAATGCTAATTGGCCAGTAGCCAAGCAGGAAGTATAGGTGGGATAAGCAGACAAGGAGAAAGCTGGGAAGAGGAAGGCTGAGTTCGTAGTCGTCAGCCAGACATAGGAAGCAAGATGACAAAGCAGAACTGAGAGAAAAGGTACCAAGCCACGTGGCTAAACATAAACAAGAAGTATGGGTTAATTTAAGTGTAAGAGCTAGTCAGCAATAAGCCTGAGCTAATGATCATATAGTTTGTAATTAATATAAGCCTCTGTGTGTTTACTTGGGGGATGTGAGTGGGAGAGATTTGCCCTGACCACTGGCCAGCCTGGACACAGGAAACCTTCTGGCTACACTACACAGCAAGTTAAAGTACAGCCAGAACTGCATAGTGAGACAGAGATAAACAAGAATGGTACTGCATGTGATCATCTCAGTATCGAAAGGTCAGAAAGGGCACACGTTGTTCTAGCCACTTGAACTGAAAGTGAGTGGCATGTGTGTATGTGACTCCACTGTAGGAATATAAAGCAAGAGAAAGAGCCAAGATTACAAACAGACACAGCTATAGCTGAATAAGAACACCCACTAGGGTGGTGGTAGGAGACGGGCATGAACCATGGAAGCCTAAGGAGAAGGAGAGGAGGAGTTGAAAGAGGGATTGTGCTTCAGTGGTGAACGAGGGTAAAATCTGATCACAAATGCTCAGGCATGGCTGAGTTAGCTGTGAACTTTCAACCAGAGCAGAGGGAGTGTGGAGGGGGTGGAATGAGAATATTGCCAACAGCAGTTACAACTTATATCATCTAAATTGCACACATGTGATACCTACTGTATACCAGATGTCCATCCCTATTTCCTTGCAGTATTCATAACAAAAGTCTTTCTAGGTAACTACGGGTACACTTAACTCAGAAGCACCCTGTGTGGAGTAACTAAAGATGGAAAGAGCGACATTGCCTGGGTAACCAGCAGCAGAGAAATGTTCTGCTCCATATCTACATCTTTTATTGCTGTTATACACTCAGTTCCAGACATCTCTCAGGGTCACATGTCCAGACAGGGTGAGGCTTTCTGGGAACTGATTGTTGAGCACTAACTCTGGATTCAGGAGCTAGAAACAGCCCAGGACATGATTTTCCAGATGAACTTGGAAGAACACATTCCTGTGAGCCTCTTTTACCAGTCAATAAAATGCCACAGATATATGTTAAAATTAATGCTATAGCCACACATTAACCATGAATTTAATTTGTGTGTCTGATGTTTAGAGGCCATCATGACCTGTGGGAACTGTCACCCTCAGGTTCTATCCATTGCAGAGTCACAACCCTGACTACTTGCTTTACCCAGATTTGATAGCATGGACTACTGTCCATCTGTCCACCTGTCCCCATTACCCAGAACCTGGTACCAGACAGCCAAGATGAGCACTGTTCTTTAGCATCCCTTGAAAATCTAACAAAAGAGGCATTTGCTGCAGGGTCCCCAGCCTTGAGCCTCCTCACTGTTCTGGCACTTCCTGTGCTCCCTCCCCCCAGTTCTATGTTGCTCCTCTTGGGAACAATGAATAACAAAGTGTTTTTTCAATGGCTATTGGGTCCTGATGTGCTATCTTGACCACACCTCATATTTTCTATTACTACATTCTATACTTATGTATTAGTAGAAATATGCATGGAGGGCCCACTACATGTAGAGGCATGAAGGGGCCCCTCCTCTAAGAACTTTAGAAATGAAACCACTTAATCCTCTCTATGGTCCAGTGAAACCTATTCTGCCTGATTGGAGTTGTGCTGATCCCACTTGTGTTAGAGTTGGCTCCTTGCACTTCTGGACCTGAGTGTGCTGCTGGGTCTCAGGGTTTCTATCCTCTCCTGATCTCAGTGTGTCCTGTACCATGGTCTGGGCCACTTCAAGGCAAGCCCAAGTTGGGAAAGTGAATTCCCCAGCAGAACTAAATCTGTCTTGTTTTTGTTCTATGCACAACTCTGCAAGGATTTTTAAATGTGTCCCCACAAGTTTGTATTTCAAAAGTACTCACCCCAAACCACCCAGGTTGCTAGCGACACCAAGAACAGAGCACGGAGACACATAGTGCAGGGACAGGCTCCCAGTTCAATGGAGCTTCTGACTCTGACCTTCAAGGAAGGGGAGTGAACGGTCCTGCCCACATGCTGGGAATCTGCCAGTGAATCTTGCCCACAAAGACCAGTTACACAATGCAGAACAGAAAACCTCTCCCTCTTCCAAAGGGCTCTCAGGACTTTCCATGGGGTCCCCAGCCAAGTCTCTTCCAAAGTTTACCTTGCTTTGTCTGAACACTCGCCCACTCAGCATTCGCCCTCTTTTATCTAAACAATCAGTGCTGAAATCTCGGATTATAGATGGCTGAAAATGCAACCCACAGCTCCTTACATAGGCGTCTCTCTGTCTCTCCCCATAACACTCTCACTTCGGGGCTCATGAGGTCTCAGACTCAAACAAATACCTCCCAGCAATGTAGAGCTTTAGTGGGGAGGAGGGACTTGTAACAGGCTGAAAATTTTTGGAGACCCTCAGAGCCCCACATATGCTCACCAGGGAGATCAGAGCTCATCTCTCCGCCTCCCTTTCTGAGAGTTTTGAGCTCTTGTGTTTAGTAGTGAGGTTAAGTTTCATTGAGTCTCCTTGGAGAAGGCTAGATTAGTTGTGTGGTAGACTTGCAAGTGGCCCTCTCTGAGGTCACATACAACCAAGGTTAGGAGCTCACTTGCTTCAGGACTGAGATTTAGGGATAGAACGTTCTTACAGTAAATGAATTCCATTTCACCAAAATCCTTGGCTTTTAGCACCTACGTATCCTTTGATTCATGCATGCTTTGAACATTTACCAAACCAGATGTGGGGACAGGAAGAGACTGGCATGCACATGAAAGCTCCACACCATAGGGATACTGTGTCAGAGTGCACCTGGGAGAGGATCCTTTACGAAGTGCTGACGAAGGGAACTTCTGGGACCCCCTTCATAGGACCACCAGACGCCTTAGGGAAGTGCTTTAGTTGAATACAGCCTGGTACAGCTGGCTAAGCAAATGCCATATCTTCACTCAAGGTAGCTGTGAGCATCACTGTGTAGTAACATGGAAATACAGACAGTGTCAGTTCTGGAGAGGAAAACACAAGTTACAGATTAACGTGTAGTTTAAAGACTTAGTTTCTCTAACAGTTCAGCAGAGATTTCCTATGTGGCACAAAAATTTCAGTTCTATTAACATACTTACAACAATGAAAACAATGAGCCATACAAAAATGTCTATAAAAGAGCACTTATTTATAATATTTAAAACAGTGGAAAGAAACAGCCCAAATGCTCATGAACTAAACAATGAATAAATTGGTAGTCTGTGTGCCCCGCTGAATACTGTTTGTAAAAACAACATACTACAGCGCAGCCAAGACTTAAAAAGATGAAAAATAAGCCAGTCACAAAACTAGGCTTTATGCTCCCAGTTGTATGAAGTTTCCAGAACATAAAGATGAAAAATGATGACTGGTTATTCAGGCCTGAGGAAAAGGACGTGAAGAGGAAGCAGAGAACTGCTGTTGGTAGGGAAGGCTGCATTTGGGTTTTCCTTCTGTTTGGGAAGTGCTGACACTATGCTGGGGTAGGATGGCTGTGGTGGTATTTTACTTGTACTGAAATGTGATTTTAATTGTATGTTAATAAATAAAGTTGTCTGGGGGTCAGAGCTATTAGAGCCATAGCAAGTGCATGGCGGCGGTGGCGCACGCCTTTAAGGACCTGGAGGGCAGTACATTCAGGCAGTGACGAGGCAGTCACATGTTTGGGTTTACAACCAATGAGAAGGCAGAACAGCTAGACTATATAAAGACACACACAGGAAGTAGGTCCCCTTTTCGGAGAGCTCTCTTGGCTGAAGAGGATCCCGGAATCAGGAAGGGTGAGGCTCTTAGCTCTGACCTCTTGGCTTTCTTCTCTGAATCAGCTCTGTGTTTCTTATTTAATAAGACCGTTGGTTACATCTACAGATGGCAGTGATGTGTAGCACACTGTGCATCTTTTTGAATGTGCTAGAACCTGATGGACTGCACCCTTTCTACTTATGTAAAGTTTCTGTTTTTATCCATCCTTATATTTCTTTGCCAAATGTTTCTTCAGAGCTTGCAGTTGCCAAACCTGGATCCCAGTGTCTTGTGTGCAGGACAGTGGTGCTTAGAATAACCCAGTGATTCTCACTAGTGGGTCCTGAGGCTCAGTGTGGCTGAGGGACTGGCCCGAGGTCACTTCACATAAGACAAAAAGCTAAGGTTAAACAAAACCTGTGAGGCCATGGGGCTGAAGTCTTCAGTGCTGTGCCGTGACGCCAATGTTCACACACGATTAACTGTGGGGGAACTCGGGAAGCCTCTGTCTCCTGGGAACTCCTCCACCTTTCCTCAACAAAGTACCCACACAAGCCTTCCTACTGGCTTCTGCTGTGTCTTCCCATCCTCCAGGAAGGATGTGACAGAGTACCATATGGAGGAGTCAGGGGTCAGATGGCTTAAAGCCTTGGGATGCAAAGGAGAGACAGTGGCTGGACTCGAAAACCTGTTGTTTCTGCCAGTGTCGAGTCCTTTCAGGAAAAGTCCTGCTAAGCCAGGAGTCAAGGTCCAGCCCTCCTGGCATTTAACTGGAGACATGGACTTAGTTATGGCCAATGGAGTAGAGTAACATTGGGAGGAAGATTGTCCTCAAGCAATATACAATGTAGTGAAGAGACAGGTGAGCTTTCTCCATATAGAACTTTTCTTACCTCTAGCTGGAAACCACAGCTGTGAGGCTGAAGAGACAGGGAGATTACACAGTGGGAATACCTGAGTCCTCGCTATGCACCTGCGTGACAGCTACTCTGTAATTCAGAGCGTTTGGGGCTTCCCAGAACCAAGAATTTAATTAATCTCCATTTTTTAGTCTCTTTATATATATAATTTATTTATATCAATTGGTCTCTCTCTCTCTCTCTCTCTCTCTCTCTCTCTCTCTCTCTCTCTCTCTCTCTCTCTGTGTGTGTGTGTGTGTGTGTGTAACATACACATAGCATGTTGTGGGGTAGCCGTTCCTGACAAGTACGGGCATAATGCAAGTATTTTTACACAATAGCATAGAGGACTTGTCGGTTTGGTCTCTCGCCTAAGCTGTAGTGTAAAAACTCATTCCCACAGCTTCTTTCACAGATCTCAGAGTGAGAAAGGTAGTGTAGACGCTGTCAGTGACTGACGTTTATCATAGGACCACACCACCCCAGTGTTCTTGTGTGACTTCCACCTGCCAGGGGCTCCTGCCCCCCACGTTAGGAAGTTTCCTGAGGTAAAACAATGGCACCCACAGTCTACTAGTCCTGGAGTGATTCTCAGTCATTGACTGACTAGAATAGTCAAATAAGGACCCCAACTTCTCCTCTTTGTGGAATAGCATTGAACCACACTCCTTTGCACACGTTTCTATCTGGCATTGACCCTGATTACTCATAGTACTAGCTGACTAAATAAGAAGGCCTTCACTGGCCATTCCTCCTCTCCCTCCTCCTCCTTCTTCTCTTCCTTCCTCTTTCTCTTCTCCTTCTTCTTCTTTCTCCTCCTCTTCCTCTTCTTCTTTTCCTTTTCATTACTTGTCACCATCCCTCCATCTCTCAAAATAAATTCCTACTGAAGTGCTTATCTCATTTGTTTTCAAGGCAACCCAAAGTAAGATGAAGAACGCATGTATTCCCAGATCTGAGATCAAATCACTATGTATCTGCTGAAGGTTGAACTGTGCATGAACTATCCTCAAACCTTCTAATGTGACTGTGCTTAGACAAAGACCCATTAAAAGACGAGACAGTAAAATAAGGCCACGATGGTGCATGCTAATCCAATCATATTGATGTCATGATAGAAAGAATTGAGGACATGCAACAGGATACCACTGGAAAGTGTGCATAGCAGACTCACCACATGTATAGGGGAATCAAAGAAGGCTTGAAAGAAAACTAACCATAGTGGCAACTTGAGCTTGGATGATCAGCCTTCATAAACAAAAGAAAGGAAGTTAATAATGTGTATTCAGCCCTGCTTCCGACCAAGTTTATGCTAGCTTGCTGAGGCAGCCCAAATAGAATAACACACAAGCACAAGCCAATGTTTTTCTTGTTGGCCCAGTTGTGAGAAGGAGTGCCAATGGCACAAAGTAACTCAATCTCAAAATCAGAAATGGACTCTGAAGCAAATCACTTCCACACAAGGGTGATTAGTAATCACCTGCCTTGCCTGATTTATTAGGACAATGACCCAACTGGCAGACCTTTCATAAAACAAAATGCTTTGATTTTTTTTTTTTTTTTGCACAATCACACTGCCAGTCCAACAGCCAAAGATAAGGTGAGAAAGCAAGACTTTTGCAAAGTCTACAGGAGGAAGCAGGAACCTAGAGAGAAGGGTCTTCTTCACTGGGTCAGACCAATGCTGATGAGAAGCAGGACTGAGAAGCAGAGCCCAGTCAGCCTTCTACCACCTGAGACACACTCTGCAGTTCTTCCCCAAGGCCACTGGCTTTATTTACCTGGAGTGAAATTTCTGGAGACCTCAGGTCTAAAAAGAGATGTTCTTTAGCTCTCTGTGACAAAGTATGACCTTTATTGAGTATGGGAACTTAATAACAGAATCAATGTCTTGACGTGTCCTCTTTGCAAAGACTGATATGAGATTATGTTCTTCCTTTACTCTTATCAATGAAGAAAATATAGTCTTAAAGAGCACTCTAATAAAAATTATTTCCTCATCGAGTCCAGTTTTTCTTGGGAGTGGAGCCTGCCCTTGTAGTAATGGGAAGAGTTGGGGAAGAGGAGGTGAATGTGTTCAAATTTTTGAAAAATAAATACAAGATTTTTTTAAAGTTCTATCCATCTCTATTTACCTGGGATGGTACATGTGGTCCCCTTAATTAGACAGAAAGACTGTTTCAAATTATGGAACACACACACACACACTGGCTCACACACACACACACACACACACACACACACACACACACACTGGCACACACACACACACACACACACGCACGCACACACGCACGCGCGCGCAC